AATCATGATGTTCCAGTACTACCATCACCCTGGGTCTCGTACGAACTTTGAGCTTCGGGCCCCAGATATACATCTAGGTCCGCCACTGCTGATCTAACTATTACACTAAAGATTAAACGCCTCAGAATTGGAAACAGATACGATGTAAAGTTACTTGATGCTTACTAGAGGAACATTTGACAATAAAAAGAAGAGAAGAATGTGAAAATCACTGGGAAATTCTCCACCTTTATTTTTCTTTTTTTTAATGTACCTAGATCAGTCTAGTGACAATTTACCTAAGTACAATTCGAAAAATTGAGTTAAAAAGGTACCTACCTTAGATTTTGGGAAAAGTTTCACTAGTAGTCAGTAGATGACACATCTAAAACTAAAGCAGGAACCTGTGTCTGAGCTGTGAAGAGCTCACGCAATAAGTCTTTTGTAAAATAGATGGTGACTCGTTTTATACATGTGCTACCATCTGTTGTCAGAAGCATTAACTTAAAGGTACGTCATGGTAGGTGACTGCTGAAAGCTTCAGGTTTCAAATATATTTTGATTACCAACCAGTAGATGGCAGACTAAGCGTATACATGTGCTGCCATCGCCTGTTAAAATAATGAACTATTAGCGTGAGGTGTGACAATGACTATTCATATTTTGAAAGGAACTGCTTACCTTTCCCAACAGAGTTTCCCAACGACGCGTCGACTCTGATTTACGATATTGAATATAATAATAATTTGGCAGTAAATAACTTTAACACGTTCGCGGACAGTACGGCTATAACCGTCATATTGTTTTCCCTAATATAGGACATGGCGGTTATAGCAGTCAAGTCTATTTCTTTTAATAAAGGCTTGAACCGTCACAAATTCCATGTAGATTGATGGATTAGCCAACTAAATGTCCTGCTGGAACATACCTACGCCAATCAGAAAAATGCCCCGTGAAAGGCGCATATTCAAACACGTGTACAATTTTATGCGTGTCTGTTCTTGTATTGTTTTGATGGCTAACGCCTATAGCCGTTTAAAATCGCATAAGTGCTCATTATTTGAAGAATAATTGACGTTCTGAGAGGTCGCTTTTAGGTTAGTTATTGTGTATGTGTGCGAAAAAGAATGTAAATCTGTGAGTATTTTATATTTTCTATTTCATTTTATTTGTTGCTGGTTCTGGAGAGGATAGCGACAGCGAAAGTGAAATGGAAGAAGTTGAGGGTGACGAAAATGGGAATGTACAAGAAAGCGAAGAAGCTCTCGACTCAACAGGTTTGTGGTACGAAGATGTAAAACCGATGCGGGTTTTTGGTTTCGATAGTAGCAAGTCAGGCCCGGTAAACGTCTACGCAAATTCTTCTCATTTGGGCGTTTTCAAGAAAATGTTCACTGAAGATATACAGGGTGGCCCATAAGTCCTTTGAGCTGGAAAAAAGGAATAAAACCAAGCTAGTTACATTATGAAGAATTATTATATTTTGTTATCATCTTTATTGAATGGGAATTATGTTTTAAAAATCACATCGTCTAAATGCAATCCATTACGATCACGGCACTCATATAAACGACGTCTAAAATTGTCGATGACTGCGCGGCAAGTCAACACTGTAATGCTTGCCATTTCTCTTCGGATATTTTCTTTCAGGACATCAACTGATCGCGGAGTGGTGTCGTACACTTTACTCTTTAGGTAGCCCCATAAAAAGAAGTCCATTGGGGTCAAATCTGGACTACGTGGTGGCCAGGAAATGTCTCCTCTTCGAGAAATTACTTTGCTGGGAAAAAGTTGACAGACGACGGGCATAGAAGTGTTGGAGGTGTGGGCAGTTGCTCCGTCCTGTTGAAACCAGGTCTGCGTATTATAGCCTGGAAAATTCTGCAACGCTGGTGTCAAAAATTCTTCTATCATTGCTACATACCGCTTCGAAGTAACAGTTAATGCGCGACCTCTGTCGTCCTCAAAAAAATAAGGGCCTACGATGCCATGCGCTGACATAGCAGCCCAAACTGTAACTTTAGGGCTGTGTAAGGGCTTCTGATGCTTACGCCTTGGATTTTCGGGGCTCCAATAACGGCAATTTTGTTTATTTACATGCCCGCTTAAATGGAAGTGAGCCTCGTCCGAGAACAACACATTATTGAGCGAAGAAAATCGATTCAACATTTAATTTGCAAAGTTTAGTCTCTGAATAGCGTCATTAATTCCTGCTCTAACTGAATTTTGTAAGCGTGCAGACGTAAATCTTTCCTTAAAATCCGCTGTAAAGATGTTCTGGGTACGTTTGGTGCACTGGAACGCTTACGAGTAGACTGGGTAGGATTTTGACGAACAGACTGTGCCCCAATGTTGATGTTTTCTTCAATACGAGTTGTCCTTGGTCGACCCCACCGCTGTTTATCTAACGTCGTACCAGTCTCTTCGAACTTAGCAACCCAGTTCTTAATCGTTTGAGCTGTTGGACACTTTGTAAAATTGTGTAAATTGTGGTATTCTCGATATTTACGCCGCGCAATGGTTGCCGAATCATTATTTTGATAAAACGCGCGCACACAAAAAGCACGATCCGCTCCAGTGAAACACTCCATGGCGACTGAATTCCCAGACACTAAAGATACTGCCCCCACCTCGCCCGCGCCGCTCACGCTCACCCGTTAAATTTTATTCAAATTTGAAATTTCAAAGGACTTATGGACCACCCTGTATTTGATATGTTAGTAACGTCTACTAATATCTACGGAAAAAAGTTATGCGAATCCAATAGACCTTCTACTAGGCACAGACGTATGCTGAATTTTCTAGAAACTGACAAAACAGAAATGCCTAAATTTTTGGGTATTTACATACTACATACAGGTCCAAATAAAAGAGTCCAGTATAAGACATATGTTCAGCAGCAGCTGCTGGTACTATTATCCGATATTTTCTTATTCTATGTCTGGGCGTCGCTTTGAACAATTGCTAAGATGCTTTAGTTGCTACGAGAACGCAGACACAGATAAAGATGCGAAGAAGAACAAGTTGGAAAAAGTTTCTGGTTTAGTCAATTTAGTAATTGAAAACTTTCAAGAATCCAATACACCTTATGAAAAAATATCTTTGGACGAATCAATATTATTATTCCGTGGCAGGTTAAGTTTTCGCCAATATATTCCAAACAAAAAGGCTCGTTATGGAATATAATTTTTTGAATTGACGACTTCTGACGGTTATGTATTAAATCTAGAGATTTATCAGGATAAAACATACACAGATGAAGTTATGAAAAATACACCTCATTGTAAAAAGGCTAATGATTCTTTACTTAGACCTTGGACATCATATTTACATGGATAACTACTACAATTAGGTAGAGTTGTCCGAAGATTTATTGAGTCGCAAAACGAACACAACTGGGACACTTCGCAAAAAAAGAAAGGGCAATCCAAAAGCAGTAGTCGATTGTAAGCTAAAAAAGGGAGAGTATGTATGGAGAAGATGTGGGAACAAGGGAACATATATGTCTCGAAATGGAAGGATAAGAGGGAGGTGCTTTTTATATCAACTGCTAACAATCCTGAACTAATAGAAGTTTCTAACAAATTTGGCCAACTGAAAATGAAACCCAAAGCAATTGCCGATTACAACGAGAACATGTCGGGCATAGATCGTTGCGACCAAAGGGTTCAATACTATTCTTCGCCTCGCAAAACCATGCGATGGTATAAGAAAATTTTATTCCATCTGTTGGATCTGTGTCTATGGAACTCTTATTATATTTACAAAAAATGTACCCCAAGGAGACGTTTCTGAATTTTAGAGATAATATAATTCAGAGTTTGCTTCAACTTCCAGCAAACGTTACTAATGGTGCTGATCTAATAAAAACTAGGACAGGCAGACCAAAGACTAGTGTCTTGCCTGAAACTGTTGAACCTGGTTCATCTCATCAAACGTCTAATCAGCACCGAGTAGTATTTCAACATTATCCGGAGAAAATACCTGCACCTGAAGGTTACAAAAGAAAAACTTATTTCCTACGTTGTAAGGAATGCTGGAAGAACAATGTTAGAAAAGAAACTTCTGTTAGATGTAAGGGGTGCCCCGATAAGCCTGCATTATCTCCTACGTGCTTTGAGAGCTACCATGACAATAATGAATAATATAAATAAACCAATTGTTTTTTGTTAATCAGGTTATGTATTAAGTTTTTGTTGCTGTTTTTATGTGTATTCCTGATTTTATTCACTCATATTTTCACAGAAATGTATGCTTTCGTTTGGTTTTCATATACGGCTATAACCGTCATTTGCAAAATGGTTATACTTGAACTATCTATATGCAAATGACGGGTATAACCGTCATTAAAAAAATTGCAAAAATGTGTATTTTTATTTCAAAATTGCCCCAAAATAATATATCTACAGTCTAAAACTCAAATATTCTATTTAAATCATTGAATTGAGAAAGTGATTTTGCTGGAACCACGCATATCCTAAAACTGTCCGCGAACGTGTTAAAGGAAAAATAATTACTTCTATGTTCTGATCACAATTCACAAAATCCTAAAATAGAAAATTTTTAAAATTGTCCACAAAGACATGCTAAATATGCACATTTTGAGGTCTAACCAGGTTCTCAGGGAGGCCGCGGCCACCCTAGCACCATTCTGCAGGCGCCGATGTATAGATAATATGTACCTTATATTGCTTAGGGATACAGAGCAGTCATCAATAATTACATTTCATATTTTAACTCTTTGTCATACACAAGTTAATTTTTAACAGAAAGGTTATTAATTTACACACGAAGGGAGGTGATATTAAAGAATCGGATTTGGAAATAACCTGTATAAGTGGCTAGGCATATATGATCGTCTCTAACAAAGAAAAAAGTTCATTATCGTCGACTCGATCCAGTGAAGACTGTTATATATCAGACTTCTTAAAAACGCTCTGATATAAAACCAAACGTCTAAGCGCAGTAGGTAATTGATAAAAGTTGACAGTCACTTTGTTACTTTCAACTCTTTTTATATGGTAGAGTTAAGTTCATCCAAAAGGTATTCTCTAGTGCTTTATTGTTATGTTTTTTAAAACACAATAAATATCATTATACTACAAGCTACTAGTAACTGAATCTAGTGACCTGAGGAAGTTTTTTATAATAGAAACTCAGCTTAAATGCTATAAATACTCTGTTCTAGGACATATCTTCGTAAAATATACAATACGTAACTATACGCATGTCAACATATTCTAAGCTTTTGCTTTCTGTTCTGCAACGTCAAAGATTTTCACACCTTTTTCTTCATCTTTATCGTATCTATTTTCGAAAGCTCCATTATATAATTTCTTGACGTACTCCTTTCTGCATCTCAATTGGTCAGATGGCCTGACGTGTGCTTGGTATACTCCGTCTTTAAGGATTCGAACTCCCCTGTAGTTTCCCTGAAAAAGATGTTATTAGAATTTCAGCAAATATCATATATATTTACAGAGTTATCAAAATTGTGTGGTTTGCAACTGGCAGCATACATTTCAGAATGAGCTCATGTATGGACTGAAGTTGGAGTTTTATTATCTAAATAGAAATTTGCAATTTATAGCATCTTTGTTAATAGAGAATCACAGTTTTCTACTCCAAGGAAATGCTCATCCAGCTGTGAGAGTAAGTTTTCAAAATCCTTTTGGATGCCGTAGTAGGATGACAACTTCATATACCGATTCTTACATTCGTCAAATAATGTGCTTATACTGATGATATTATATAGTTAGGACTTGGCAAACTTAAACATAACTGTGAAAGCAACGTAATATTCTCCAAAATTTGTATTGAAAAGAAACATAAATACAGAGTGTCCCGCGAGGAAAGGGACAAAATTTTTCTACGTGTTCCTCAGGTCAATTCGAGTGGAAAAAGTCCGATGAACATGGGTCCGCAAATGCGTCCTTATCGAGATAATGATTTTGTTATTTTTAGGGTGCTAATGGTGGGAAAACCACAATACTGTTTGAAAGTTACTTTTACTTAACACAAAATTACTAGGTACAATGAAAATAACTATTCACAATAGTTGTTCAAAGAGTCCACCTTCACACTGTAAACATACATAGTCTAGCCGGTTTAATAATGTGACTGGAGGCTTTCCCAATAACAAGATGATTACTTCTTATGTCGTCAGCGACATCAGTAATTTTACGGAGCAGCTCAGGCCTGGTATGCGATTTCTCTGCATACACTAAGGACTTCATATGTCCCCACAAGTAATAATCCAAGGGATTTAAATCAAGCGAGCGGGGTGACCAAGAAACTGCGCCCCCTCGTCCAATCCAACGCCCAGGAATAGTGTTATTTAAATACTTTTTGCAAAGTTCAATCAAACTGACACAACTAACCCGTCAGCAAACAAACAAGCACCAGCGTATTAATTGGGCAGTACAACGTGACTATGGACTTTAATTATTGTAAATAGTTGTTTTCATACGAACAGTATTAAATTTTTTGTTAAATAAAAGCATGTTTCCAACAATATTGTGGTTTTCGCCCACTAAAAATAAAAGAATCATACAGGTATCTCGATAAGGTCGCATTTCGGACCTATGTTCATACGACTTTTTCGACTCGAATTGACCTGAGGAACACGCAGAAAAATGTTGTCCCTTACCTCGCGAGACACACTGTAAACTTAGCTTCCAAAAGGGTTTCCTCGATGAGAAAAAGTTTGCCGTTCGTAGTCCAAACGAAAAAGTTCGCGGCAGATTGTAACGGCATTCGAGTGTGACGTAATTTTAGTCTGACGGTGTCAGTTTGACATGAAATGTATGGTCACGTCCTATCGGTACTCAGAATAAAAAAACTCAGCTGGTTCGTGAGACGTGTTTTTAACAACACATGAACAACAAGTATAACAGCAAACAACAAAAAATAAGCTTTTACTTAACAACTTTTAAAAACAACTAAAAACTTATAGACATTCATGTCCAATCGCAAAATCGCCGTTTTATAATTCTTAACCAAAAACAATAATGAAGTTCCTTCGTCCCAAGTTTTCAAATAGAAGCGTGATACACTTTTGTCTCTATTGCCGTTAAGGTGTAACACTCTTTTACTGAAAACCCGAGACGAAGAAGCTTCATTGTCATTTACAGGTTAAAAAATATGAAACGGCATACTTCCAATCAAAAGACATTCTTAGTTAACGGCTAATTAAAAGTTCGAATTAAAAAAGTTTTTTTTTTGTATTACCTATTCTTCCTTTTTGTTAATATGACTTCATACAACTACTACCTTTATGTTTAATACGATATTACGGTCCCTATATTATATTATTACGATAATGAGACATGCCGGTATAAATTGGCGCCCGCTAAATTTTGTATATTACTGTTTAGAAATAAATGTTCTATAGAAAAGTTTTAGATTCTAAGATAAGGTTTTATTATTATTATTATTATTATGATAATTGAGATGAGCAGAGTACACAGTACTATAAGCTCATGCAGTAAATATAGTGTGCGGACACGTAACACAAATACATCAAATAGAAAAAATAAAAAAATACAGTTCATAGCTATAAAGTTTGTACACTCCTCCAGCTATCATACTGCACTTTGAAGCTATTAACTGAAGTAGCACCAACCACACTTTCAGGTAAACTATTCCAGGTGTTGAGTATGCGGTTGGGAAGAAACCACTGTCGGACTGTTGTTTTAAATGGCTCCTTATGCAGTTTGAAGCTGTGTCCGCGTAGATTGCTGCGCGACAGATGGTATAGATGCATGAGGTTGGTGCCCATCAAACCATGAAGTATCCTGAACGTAACTATAAGATCGCCACGAAGTCTTCGCTCAGAGAATGAGGTCAGGTTGAATAATTCAAGGCGATCTTCATAGCTTGGTCTTCGTGCTCCAAAAGGGATACGAGTAGCCCGACGCTGTACCGATTCGACGAGATTTCTATCGCGCAGAAGCACAGTGTCCCATACCGGGCCAGCGAATTCAAGAATTGGCCTCACGAATGCCTTGTAAATGTAGGCGCAAGTGTTGACATCGGATCCTTTGAAAGACCTCTCCAGCATATATAGAAGTTTCTTGGCTTTTGATGTAACGTGGTGAATATGCTCTGACCAGGAAAGACGATCGTTGACTACAACGCCCAGATCAGTGTGGCTCGAAACTGCTTCGATGTTGTGGTCAGAGATCTTGTATGTAAATCGCGGATTTGTCTTCCCGAGGTGAAGGACACAACACTTAGTTAGATTTAAGGGTAAAAGCCAACTGACTGACCATTGACAAACAATATCAAGATCTCGTTGAAGCATAGCAGAATTTACGACAGTATTGTAAATCTTGGTGTCGTCGGCATAAGCTGAACATGTGGAGGAAATCAATGCGGGCAGGTCACTTGTATACAGAAGGAACAGCACTGGCCCCAAGACAGAGCCTTGAGGAACTCCACTTGATACATGATGAAGGTGAGACTGGCTATCACTGACGCGCACAGAGAAAGTCCTTCCGGTGAGAAAAGCCTTAATCCACAGTAACAACTCGCCTCTTATTCCCATACATTCTAACTTAAACAGAAGCCTTCTATGTGGTACGCGATCGAAAGCCCTAGAAAAATCTAAGTAGATTATATCAACAGGAGTCTTTGTGTCCAGATACTGAGTCCAATCGTTGAGAGAGTGGAGAAGGTTGGTCATTATTGATCGACCAGGGAGAAATCCATGCTGATTCTTAGGGATAAGGTCATTTTCGAAAGCAAATGACTGGAGCTTATCTAATATGATTCTTTCAGCTATTTTGGCGGCGATAGGAACGAGACTTATTGGTCGATAATTTTTAGCGGAGGATTTGTCGCCCTTTTTGAATACAGGGGTAACAGAAGCACTAAGCCAGCATGAGGGTAGGGTATGAGATCTAAAAGACGATGTGAATATCAAGCTTAATGGTAGGGCCAGTGCTGAAGCGCAGTTTTTAAGTACAGCAGCCGTCATCCCATCTTTACCAGGGGAGGAAGAGGTCTTCAGATTTCGCAGGTGCATTAATACATCTTCAGGCAGGAACTCAACTTCGCAAAGGCTGTTGGGACACCTATGGCAGATAGTGGTCGGTAGAAGGTCTCCATTAGGCTCATCGACGAAGTCATCACTAAAGGACTCTGCCAGTAAGTTGGCAGATTCGGTGGCATCCATGTGGAGATGACCGTCAGCGTCGCGGATCTGAGGAGATGAAACTTTGGAATTCAGGTTTGTTCTTAGATACCGAAACAGCTTCTTCTTATTTTTGGAGGTAACGAGTTTTCGTTCATAAGCATGTTTGGCATTATGTAACGTTCTAGATAGGAGGTTAGAAAAGGATCGATGAGACACGTAATCTTGTGAATGGCCACTCCTCCTAAACCGTTGCCACAAAGATCTCTTGTGACGAAGCATCCTCGATATGTTAGAGTTGATCCAGGGCTTTGAGGGATCACAGTATACCTTCTTTTCAACAGTATTGTCAGCCGTTTCGCTTAGGACTCGTTGAGCGAAAGTGTCCCACATATCTTGGGTGCTACGGTTGTTAAGCAAAGCAGGCCAGTTGACTTCAGACAGGGCTTGGTTAAGAGCATCGTGGTTTACAATTTTGATGGTTTTAAACTTATCGGTTGTAGAACGACTATTTATATTGAACTGGAGTGAAGATAAAAGTGAACAATGGTCAGACTTGCCAAAGGTGGCAAATAATCTAAATTAGAAACAAAGTCTGCGTCGTTAACGAATATCAAATCCAGAGCCCTAGGCGTCTGTCCTTCCCTGAATCTCGTTGGACGATCAACAAGTTGAGATATGCTAGAGTTGCGTAGCAAGTCGATGTAAGCAGCAGAAGAAGAATTGCATTCAGGAATGGTTGACATAGGCCAGCTAATGTCACGTAGATTGAAGTCACCAGCTATGAAAAGGTTGGTGTTTTTATTTAAGAGATCTGAAATGAGACTGCACAGGTGTGTGTCTCCCAAACAGGGCCGTGGCCGATATATGCAGCCTATCGTGAAGCTGAAATTTGGGCACCACAATTCCAAAAATAGATTGTCAATGCCATCGAAAGGACTGAAAGAGGGAGATACCGAGAAAGCCGACGCGATTTCCGTGCGAACATAAATGCATACTCCACCAAAACCAGGAGTGCGTGGTGAATCCATTCTGTATAAATAGTATCCAGGCAAATTGATGGAAGAGTCGGACACGTTGGAATGGAGCCATGTTTCAGTAAGACAAACGAACGTTGGATTATTGTCTCGAACAAATGCTTGGAGTTCAAGTAGCTTAGAAAAGAGAGATTGTATATTAGTGTAACAAACCGTCTAGTTTGCCACAGAATTTATCAGTTTTTTGAAGGTGTGATCTCCTGGGTAGCTGTGTGTACTATAGAAGGTTTACCACGAACGTATTTTATAGTAATATTACTTTCGCCTGTTGTTTGACGACGTCTAAGCTCTTCGCGAAGGTGTTGTAGTTCTTGCATTTGACCTCTGGTTTTGTCGTCAGAGATTTTACGTGACGAAGCGTGGGGTGGCTAAGGATGGAGTTTTTCTTCCGCAAAATATTGCTGACGATAATAGGTGAGGTAAACACAACTCTAATTAAACGATTGCTTGAAGTTGTTCTGCCAAGGCGAGTGATGCTGAGTCGGTGATTTTCGGCAGATGGTTCAATATGCCTAATTATCTCTGATACTATGTTTATATCATCGTTACCTTCAGCTATGCCCCTCAGAATGATATTGTGGGAACGTCTAAATAACTCCATTGTCTCAGCTTGGGAGCTTGGGGCAATAGGGGTAGAAGAAGCGCCGTTGCCTGAGTGCATCGTCTCCATAGATCTTGCAAGTCTCGATTCAATATTAGCAATGTTAGAAGACAGCTCTGTTTGAGTAACCTGGATATTTTGTATGTTGGTTTCGCAGGGCCGCTATTAAGTCATCATGCCGAGAGATCGAGTCCGAATGTTGCTGTAGTAAGTTTCTACAATAAGCAACATCAGTGCAATATTTTTTTATATACAAAATGTGTCGGGATGTGTTATCGAATGAAGTTGTTTTTCTTTCGAACTGAACATCTTGTGTAATTTAAGCGAAAATGGTAGACGCTCTTTCCTGATTGTAGTTTGTCGTACTGCAATCATTTGGTCAAAAACTTAGTTTTTGTGTGTCATTATTCTTGTGTATCTGAGTTCAAACCACTGTGCATCTAGCCTCATATGCAATCGAGCATAACGACGTATACATAAATGACACATATGG